CTGTCTACCCTAGAATGTGTTATATGAAGAGCATAAATATTAATTACAAGTCCGTAAGTTGTTCCTGCTGCCTAATATGCAGGAAAGAGGCAATAATTCAAGAATTATTGTGCTTTTTGTAGCTAGAGATCGAATGAATGGTGCAAAGTCACCATTTAATTGGGGCTTTTTAGGGTGCGACTTCTCAGGACAGAAAGGGCGGAGACCTAAAGTAGTGAAATTGAGAAAAATCCTATTTCCGTCGTATTCGTGTCATAGTATTCTAACGAAGTGCTGCACTAAACTCGCGTAAAGCATGAGATTCCCTGAACGAAGTTTAGGTGGGAAGCATAAAGTAGGTGAGCTAACTCATTAAATGTCAACCGAAATTACGAAATGAATTTGCGTTTCGAAAAGACTAATTAAATAGGGTTGTAAAACTAGTCAGTCTGCAACATTATTCTATATTATTCCAGTTACCTCGGGTTACCGGCTTTCGAATGAACTTTCTTCCGGTTGCATGAAAAACTACACTCTGTAAAAAAATGACTACATAATAACGCGTGAATTTTTCTCATTGATTTTCGATGCCCCTAAATGTCCAATTATACTTCCTGGAAAACATGCAGAAAAAAATTTATTCTTTTGCTCATTCGGTCGACAAATACATTTTCTTCTAATTTTATACTCGAAGGAGGGACATAATTCGGTTTTAAAAAAGTATCTTATTTTGGGACTTTTAAATACCGGGAAATGATCGTTCATAAATCGTCATATCTCTTCATTTAACAATCTGCCTTGTGAAGTTAAAAATATCGACTAAATCCGCTGCTTAAGTTTATGAAACCTATACGGTCTTCCTTAATTGCCGTAAAGAAATGTGTGGTTTCCATACGCAAAAAGTATACGGCTTGTAGTTTGGAAACCCCGAATCTAATTGTGACGGTCGAGCGGGCTCAAAATTATTCGGGAATGGGAAAAGTTTTCGAAAAGTAAATTATACCCTTCCCTTGAGTTTAAAATTGAAAGAAGATGCAATTATCTGCCGAGTGAGCAGAACAATTAATATTTTTCTGCATGTTTTCCATGAAATATTATTGAACGTTTAGGGGCATCGCAAATCAATGAGAAAAAGTCACGCAATTTAAGTAGCCATTTTTGCAGTGTAGATGTTGCATGCAGTAGAAGGAAGTTGTTTCAAAAGCCCGACCAGTTTGAAAATTCTATTTAATTAATCTATTGAAACGAAAACACAATTCGGAATTTAGGTTAAAATTTCATGAGTAAGCCCACCTAAACCAATTGGGGCTTTTTAAGGTGCGACTATTTGAGACAGAAAAGGCGCTGATATAAAGAAGAGAAATTTATAAAAAAGCTATTCAGAGAATGAAGATGCGATCGCTGGAACAAGAAATTGATTTGCCTGACGTTTCGGATTCTCACTCGAATCCATCATCAGAGATTTTCGCAGATAAAGTTGAAGCTGCCAACATGATCGCAGCATTGGAATCAATACTCAGCCAGACGGGCGCGACAGGTGAAACGAAGAACCTCATTCAACACCAATTGTCCTCCCTCCTCATGGCTCATAGGCCGCGCGATGTGCTTTCCAAGGTCGAGCGGGATGCACTTAAGAAATTCAGGGCCGACAACGACCTCGTTATCGTGCCTGCGGACAAGGGGCGTTCAACGGTCGTATTGGACAGGACAGGCTACAATCAAAAAGCCAAAAGCTTGTTGGAGGATCGTCAATCCTATGTCCCATGCGAATCCAACCCCATGAAAACGCTGACACGCGAGATTAACGCGACGCTGTTGGCAATGGAGAACTCAGGTGCAATATCGCCAATCGACCGACGCATGGCGAGAGCACAAGAAACGGCCCTAGCCCGATTCTACGGTCTCCCAAAAGTGCACAAAGAGGGCGCTCCTCTCCGGCCTATCGTATCACTAAAGGGCACTCCAATCTACGGACTGGCAAAGTGCCTGTTCCAACGTCTCAAGTTTCTGACCTCCGATTCGAACACCACAGTCAGCTCGTCAACGCAATTCTTGGAGAAACTTAAAGGAGTAAGTCTCCTGCCAAGCGATATCATGGTTTCCTTTGATGTCACGTCCCTTTTTACTTCTATCCCGCAGGACCTGGCAGTCGAGACAATCGAACTACTCCTACGAGAGAAGTACGACGAAACGGAGAATCGCCTCGGACACGCCCAAATCATCCAGCTCCTGAAGTTCTGTCTCAAGACGTACTTTACATTCGACGGAACAATCTACGAGCAGGTGAAGGGAACGCCAATGGGTTCGCCGATTTCGGGACTCATAGCCGAGGCGGTCCTTCAACGGCTGGAGTCGCTGGTTTTCCGACACCACAGACCGAAATTCTGGGCTCGGTATGTGGATGACACCTTCGTCGTCATCGAACGGGATCAGGTGCTGACTTTCAAAGAACAACTCAACGCCGTCTTCCCGGACATTCAATTTACGATGGAGGAGGAGGAAAACAATCAGCTGGCCTTCCTGGATGTCCTCGTCTGCCGCAAAGATTGTGGTGGCCTAAAAACCAAAGTGTTCAGGAAAGCGACAAATACGACGCAAATACTGAACTTCAATAGCAACCACCCGATCAGTCACAAACGCAGTTGCGTAAGGGCGCTATACCGGCGTGTTGAGACGCACTGCAGTGAAATGGAAGACAAGGTTGCTGAATTACAATATCTTCGACGGGTAATGAGAGCCAATGGCTACCCGCGCAACTTTGTCAACCAGTGCATACGAAAAGGACACCAGAGACCAAATCCAACTAGCCCCAAATTTTGGCGGGCTCTTCCGTACGTGAAGAACGTCTCGGAAGCCGTCAGTCGTCTTCTCACTCCACTTGGAGTTGGTGTTGCACACAGGCCGGAAGCAACCATTAGGCGCCAAGTAATGAGGCCAAAAGACCCGCTGCCACGGCAGGAAACGTCTGGAGTCGTTTACCGGATCTGGTGTAGTTGCGGACAAAGCAATTATGTCGGAGAAACTGGGAGATTACTCCGTACGCGACTTGCCGAGCACGCAGCAGCAGTGAGGCGGGGAGACGCTAACTCTCAGGTGGCGGCACACTCGACGGGACCCGGCCATAATTTCAAATTTCAAGAGGCCGAAATCCTCGCAAGGGGTGACAACCGCGTGAGCCGCGAGCTGCTCGAGTCATGGTTCTCAGGCCCGCAATCCATCAACAAACACAATGACCTCCCGGTGGCCTATTCCGTATTGCGATTTTCCCTGGGCAGGAGAATCAGTCACGTGGGGAGGGCGCGGGTGAGCAATTATCACGGTGACAGTGAGCCAGTTTGCCGAGCAATCGTCACACCAGCATCGAGCACGGATGACGAAATCGCGGCAATTAACAACTCGGACTCGGACCGCCAAGCCACCGCCGCATCAATTACGACCCCAGCGGCGATTGTGAGAACTGTTAATTGCAGTGCGCATACGGTCCCACGGCAGCCACGTGCTATAAATACTGCATTCCTGGTGCCACCTTTACCTCTATCTGCGAATGTCTCTGATGATGGGCTCGAGTGAGAACCCGAAACGTCAGGCCAATAAACTTCTTGTCCCAGTGATCGCATCTTCATCTTCTGAACTGCTACCTGGGACTCGCCTGTTCGCTTCTATCAGCAATCTTTTTGGGCGCGAAGCGCTCCGATCGGCTCGACGGTGGGAAACCTTTGCCCTTCGAGAGTCGTCAACATATGCGCAGATTCGATTTCTGCACAGGTGTCTCGACAACAATGTGCTGCCGAAGTGCGTTTCATACAAACCTCCGGTCAACACAGAGCTGGCGAGACGCGCAGTACTTCAGCACGGCCGACGAATGATCCGAGTGCTCCTTCAAGACTGTCACTCACGGATTCGCAAATACCGTCAGAGGATTGACCAAGAGAAGGCAAGGTGCTGCGAGTTCATGGGCGAGGACGGCATAAAACTGCTTCAGCAGAGGCTGGCCGANGCAAGGAAACCTACGGGGAAATTCTTTTGCACTACGAGGGCAATCACTCACAAACAGAGTGTCCTGAACAGCCTCCTTAGCCGAGCAAGAAACTCACTGCTCTGACAGCGAAACCTATCAAACAGAGCTGAATTATTTGTTCAAACGGTTTACCCAAAATGTGTATCCTAGAGATTTTGTACACCGATGCATGAGACAACATGCGCTAAAAGAAAAAGACCAGAAACTATACTGATTTGGTCAGGCGCCCAAACCAAAAAAATCGGCGAATACTTCCCTACATTAACAATGCGTCCGAACTAGTTAAAAGACATCTGAGAAGGCACCAAATACACGTGGCACACAGACCGACGACTATACCTCGTAGGCAGCTTGTACACCCTAAGGATAAGGTTGGCTATTTAGATAAGGAAGAAAGTCGTCTACAAGATACCACGCAGCACCTGTAATGCAGTTTACTGTGATCAAACCGGGAAATCTGCCCCCACACGCATACACGAAAATCAGTTGGCGGTAAGAAGGCGAGATCAATTGTCTCAAGTTGCCATACATATGCTGGAAACCGGACACAAATGCGCATGGAACAAGACTCGCAATGTAGGTGTCTGCTCATCTAAGAAGGACAGCGAATTTTTAGAGGCTATTCACTCTGATAACGCATGCATCAGTCGATACATATACTTGAATTTTGTGTATAACAACATCAAGGAAAGGTGAAGAAGGCGTTAACTAGTCAGAACATGCTGCCAGTCTGCAGTGAAGGCTCACTGGCAGGAGTGACGGGGCAATATCGACCTGTAGGCATATTTAAATTTTAATTGTTTTGTGCACGTGATTCACGTCTGAGGACGACTTGGGCAACCAAAATCGAAAATGCATAAATAAATTGTGTTATCTATCCCAAAGAACTTATTTCTTTCGAATATATATTATTTGTCTGAGGTTGCTAATTTCGAGTTGAAACGAGCAAGCAAATTCAGAGTAACCTAGGTTGTTAATTGCTGCGAGAAGTTTTATTTTGAGTTCTGAAATATCGCAGCCAAATGCCTCTATTTGTCCGGCCCGAACAACAGATTTCTAAATGTACTCATGAGCAAACGCAGACGAGACGGGCGAGTTAGCTAACCAAATCCAGGCCGTTCGGCATATCACAGTCTGCCAATCATTTAATCGGTCTCAGACGTGTACCTGAACTGAACCCTATTTTTCTATGATCCCACAAGAGGGGAGATCTAATGGCATTAACAGACCAGACAGACCATTTGACACAACAATTCTACGCCGCCACAGTTAATCTAGTCCGCATACATCCTAACATCGTTCCCCCCCCCGCCTTGACTTGAGTGAAAACAGTCGTCTTTCAGCTGACGGAGTGCTTTACGAAACTAAGTGTAAAATCAGTTGGGGCAAAGCGCGTGACGAGACCTGCTGGGGGGTGGGGCGTGCGTCATTCAGTCAATCATCGATGCATGTGTGACCTGAGTATTTTTCCTCCAAAGGTTGCGTCGAGGGCAGAGGCGTAGTCAAACGAGACGGCGGATTTGACCCCGCAGGCCCACGCCATCACAGTTCATATAGTCCGCACCCACATGCAACAAACGCAAGTTAGTCGAGGACACATTGGTATG